TGTGTAGTCATTAGTTTATTATAAGTTACATTCTATGCTTAACAATGCTTTTCTGGTATTTTCCTTGTACGTATAAATATATACGTAGTATGTTAGATTCTAATTTGTGTGGAAAATTTGCAATTCTTAACTAGAACGAAATATGTAACTGGCTTGCAAAAGAGTACCGGTGTGAAAGAACGACCACCCGTTTTGCTGTATCTACGCCATTTTGCCATCTTCAAAGAGAGTTGTTTAAGCTATGATCATATTCAGATAGAATAAAAATTTCTTCTCCGATGTTTTTGCCTTCAGTTACAAAGATAAAGCATTAACCATCAAGTTTTTTTACTGGTAGTTAAGCTAGATCACTGTATGACATGATTGATGAACTTGAAGAAGCAAATGATCTTGTACTATATTAACGCTATCAAGAAGTGGCAAATCTGAATGTTGACTTTGTCAAAGCAACAAATGATATGGAGAGAAATTTATGATTCAAAGCATTAACCATCAAGTTTTTTTTACTGGTAGTTAAGCTAGATCACTGTATGACATGATTGATGAACTTGAAGAAGCAAATGATCTTGAACTATATTTTCGCTATCAAGAAGTGGCAAATCTGAATGTTGACTTTGTCAAAGCAACCTTTGTCAAATGATATGGAGAGAAATTTATGATTCAAAGCAACCAGGATAGAGAGTGTAAGAAAGGTGACTCTGCTGGAGGATGAGTTGCAAAGAATAATAATGCAGTATAAATGCTTCAAAAAGAAATTGCAAGAGAATTCTGTTCAGTTGAGTAGATAAATGCCAAGAAATGTTACCAGGAGGAAAACTGCAGAAATGATCGACTGATTGGATTAGAAACTAATTAGAAAGCCCTGAAGGTGGAAAATGGTTTGCTGAAGGAAAGAGTATTGGGACTGGAAGAAAACTGTGTGCCACAAACACTCAGTATTATAAAGAGCGTAAGCGCTTATTCTATTACAAGAACAAATATTTTATTCAGCATGCAAACCAGGAAGGAAATGTTGGCAATCTAATTGAATACATAAGGTACCCGGAGATGAAAATACAAAACTAAAAGAAGAAATAGAAGAATTTTTAAATAAGATGTAATTAAAACTTTTTGCAATTTAAAGTATAATGGTGAGGTAGGAATCCTATATTGTGAGCTGCTGAGCACGAATGTCAGCATTAACAACTGCAAGAATGTTGTTCGATCAGATATCAAAGCTTTTTTCGTAAACTGATGGAGACCAGCGCAATGAAAAGGCAAATGAATGGAAAGCATTTCTTTAGCAGCAAGGGATCTAAAATAACATTGTTTTTTTCATGTTTTTTCCTTGTACGTATAAATATATACGTAGTATGTTAAATTCTAATTTGTGTGGAAAATTTGCAATTCTTAACTAGAAAGAATTGTTTTTTTTCATCGCGATTTAACGTATATTTTGTGCTTGGCGGAACTGTGTATTACCACAGGAATCAACTTCCTACAAGCATCAATCCTGGCAGATATCGGGACCAAATCGCTTTAGCAGCAGGATTAAACATTTGTTTTAGCTTTAATATTATATTTGCAGTTTTAAAGTAATTGACGAAAGGAGTTGAAAATAATTTTTGCCACATGGCTACATGAACACACCCACAGAATTACTCAGTTGAAGTCAGTTTCTTTTGAATTTTTAATTTCAATCTATTCTAATTGTCTTGGTAAGCACAATACAAGCATTTTGCATGTTTAAAAACTGTTTGCATTTTTGTTTCTGTGGTTACAGGACCGCGTTTAAAAATTAGCTTAAACTTGTTCATCGAAATGCTAACTTACAATACAAAAAATTTCAGTTTACTGCTGTAAATAGTTAATGAGATCCCAAAGGTTGGAAAATCTAATGACAGTTGGAAAACTTGACAGTTTGCTAATTGCCTTCTTATTCTTTAGACCAAATATGCGAATTTATATTTTAGGATTTTTGGGATTTTAAATGTAAAAAATCTTTAACCTTATTAAAATACAAAGTCATCCACTGATTGTTTTCAGTTGTGAACCCTTGTCTACATCAGTTGTGAACCCTTGTCTAGGATCTTGAATTGCACCATTGCACCGTTTGTTTTTCTTGTTGACAGAGATTAAGGGGAATAAAAGGATATATCAAGCACTTTCTAAATGTAGACAGTACAGAGCCTGCGCAGTGTAGTCACATTGTAGCTGTGCGCGTGAAGTTTGGTAACTTGTTTGCACCGAGGGGCGATTCACTCTTGCAAATAGCGTACGAGATTTTTCCTTAAAAAGGGATTTCTGGGGACTTTCAGATAAAACAATAGGATTCTCACAAAAGGTGTACGAGATTTTCTTAGAGTGATTTGCCCCTCGGTTTGCACGAGTTCGTAGAGGTCGATTTGAGCAAAAGGGAAATAAAAATATCATGATAACCAGCCCATTATTCTGAAGGAATTCCTTTAGAATAATGTGCTGGTTATCAGGCGAAAATAAAAGGCGATTTCTTTCTGAAAACCCCTTCACTTTTATTGGATATTTAGAAAGTGATACAATCTACAGTAAAAGTGACCACGTGCAATGGTAGATGGACACTTGTGATTGGTTGATGTTTGATTGACAGTACGAGCTTGCTGGCTCGGAGCCACTTAAGTATGCTTCAATTCCCTTTAAGTTGAATTTTATTGTTTTGAACAAGCAAGTGAATTTCCGGATAACAAAACTTAAATTTTACAATCAGTGTTGATTTTAAGCCTACAGTTTTAAAAAGATCATACCCTGTATTGATTGGAAAAATTGAAACTGGGAGTTTTTTAAGAAACTAAATGTAGTCGATCCAATAGAAAACTAAGAGCCTTTTATTACTAGAAATTCACAACGCTTCTCAACAATTGTATGCTAAGCTTCCCCTATAATTTGTAGACCCCCTTAACTCCTTATCATAAATTGCGATGAAAAAGCTTAAGAGAAACCAAAAGCATTGCAGAAGCCGCCATAGAGGTGTTTGATCAAATAAGAGTGTTTTATCTCACGAATTGCGCATACACACTTGCCCTCAGATCAACCATTTCAGTTGCAAAAACAATAGACATTTAGTCCTCTGAAAATTGTAGCAGGTTTCCTTTTCGATCAAGAACAAAAGATGAAAAGATCAATTCCATGATGCTTCTATATAGTGAAAGAAGGATATGTTTTATATAAAACTGATCTGAAGGAAATAGCTTTAATATGGGCAAACTAGAAAAAGAGAAGAATCGCTGTTAATTTACTGGAAAGAATACTTCTTTTTATCATTAAACATATCAAATATCTAATACTGGTTCGGCTTTGATGTTACTTTGTATCTTACAAAAAGTTACTTGTTCGTGTTACGTTAATCAAAGTTTAGATATTTCCTTCATCGTTTTTAGTATTTTTATGCTTAAGACAAATTATTTTAAGTAAAATGTTGGTAATCATACAAAAGCTAAAAAATCTGGAATAAGGGATTTTTTCAATACCAATTTAGTAGTTGCAGTAGATTTGCAGGTCAAAAGAAAAATTCTCTAGGTAAAGTTGGTATTATCGTCCTTCCACGACCCCTTAAAATCAGCCACTGATTTTCGTCCCGGTTTCTGTGGTGCCATTAAGCCTACTGCTTTTCATGGTAAACATTTTCATAAATTGTCCATTCTTTCGATACTAGAAAGTTTAAAAACTTTCCAGCCCTTTGTACGATTTTTGTGGTAAAAAATCAATACCAGTATTAAGCAGTTTCAAAAAACTTAATTTTTGACTTTGGATTACATTCTTTTTTAAAAAATACCAGTAAATTTAAGTTCAGACTGACTGTTCTTTTTTTTCAAAAATCTTGGCCTGGATTGTTCTTAATTTGTTCTTAAATTGATAGGATGTATGCAGAGGGATTGTTTTTCTGTTTAGGGATATGTTTAAGCCTCATTTGCTACATAGTGAGCGAGACAACCTTTTTAGTGTTCATCGGAACATCGATCGATGATTGACTTAAATGTCCATTAAACGGCAAACGTGCTATCTTCAACCAGTGCGATCTTATTTTACGTGCAGAGGACACGGAGCCAGAGAGATGCAAACTGTTTGAGCAGTGTGTAACGTGATTTCTACTGACTGATTATAATTTACAAGAGTTCGTATTGATATAGAAAACTGGCAAATTTAATTAAGAGCTATACAAAGGAAAGGATATGCTCGATGGTTAACAATGGTGTGATGGATTAGGTTAAAATGACGTGTAATTAACATAGAGAATGATGAATATAGAATTACGTATAAAATGGCCTAAATTGAATCACTATACCTTCATTTGCCGATAAGTTTGGATAACTACTCATACATGGCTAAAAATCCTTGTTTTGAGATAAACATTGTTCAGAACTGAATTTTATTGAATCTCAGTCTCAGCTCGTTTTTAATTTGTTGTTAACTTTCGACCAATTTTGAGGATCGTGTTCTTACCAAAAAAAGTGTAGCCTAAGAAGATGCAAGTCGAATATTTCATATTTGGGCTTAGTCTAGCATAGGCTTATTTGGGCTTATTTCATATTTGAGTTTTTTTAGAAAAAAAAGTTAGCATGTTTGTTGGATTGTTAGAGCTTCTTATGCCCTGCCTATCTATTCCGTAAATCCTCAAATTGCCCCCCACCCTCTAAAAAGCTCCCCTTCAAAAAAGTCCCCCTCGAAAAAGCCCCCTCCCCCCGAATAAGCCCCCACCCTAGAACTACAAACTGTCAATAAGCCTCCCCCCTCGAATAAGCCCCCACTGCTACCGTAAATCCTCGAGGTCTTTTATTAATGTCTTCCTAATGTCTACAATAATTTTATAAGCCCCCCTTGTATAAGCCCCCTCCCTCGAAAAACCCCCTATCCAAACATGTTAAAAATGAATAAGCCCCCAGGGGCTAATTCGAAGATTTACGGTATGTGGAACTGAATTTCAGACGGGACCCAATAGTTTGTGAGTTGTTGTGTTATGGATGCAGCCTCGTTCAAGTTCGGCCAATGAATAAATTCGGCGCGTTGGCCTAACACTGGCACATTATGAGGAGAAGATGAATTTCTGCTCAATAACATTTCTAGCTGTACTCTCCGTGGAACTAATGGCAGAATCTGCAAAGCTGCCTCTTATCGTAAATACTTGGCCCTTCACGGATGCCACATATAAAGGTGAGTTTGACGTAGACTGAGCAGAATAGATGTACTATTCAATCATTTGTTCAGCTTAATCCCAGTCAATCATTTTTTACTTCCTTGTGGAACTCAATCGTTCACAAATCAAGACGTAGGACAAGTTTTTGATCCTCTTTTTACTCGTATTAGAAACTGCATTTTACTTGCAAATCATTACTCGTTATGACATGCTGGTGGCAACGAAAGATACAATACTAAATAATAGTAGAATGGCACGGTGGCCCTGGCCCATATAAAGTTTCTGTAAAAAACATTAAAGTGTTAAAAGACACAAGTCAATACATGATTACATTTATACAACATTGCAAAGTCTCGCCAAAATGTTTGAAAATGCTAAAGCACAAAAACTCGAGCAACATTTGTATTTTTTAAAAGTGGCCAATGCAATATATAAGCTATCAGACAGTCTTTTTAGATGCGACAGAGTTTAGCTAATTGAATTTCCCATTATAGTTTTATTTACGGCCTAAATGTTTCTAAAAGCACGATTTTAAGGAGAAATTCCTAAGTTGATTCTGTCCTTGTAAATTTTCTCCTGCATTCTTACAATCTCGTTCTATTTATCATAGAGCTCTGCTGGTTGTTCTTACCATTTAAGACAAATTCTCTAGAAAACAGTCATTGCTGCTATACTGCTGGTTAATCAAAAACTTTACACTCCATGCTAACCACCAAAGCCTAATGTGCAGTTATTTAGCAAACAAATGTAATTGTTTGTATGCAAAGTAATGTAATCAGAAGAGGATAAGAAGAAAAAAGTCCTGATGGCTAGATTCATGCAGGAAAAACCTTTGAATTGCTGTGGATGCAAGATTTATTCAGGATTTTATGTAACTGAGTGAAAATTGTTTCCTGATTTGAATGTCTTGTGTTACTTTTCTAAAGTGAATGTTTTATTCACAGCTTGGTCTGTGATCATGGCAAATGGATCTGCCTTAGATGCAGTAGAGCAAGGCTGCACAGTTTGTGAAGAAGAGCGCTGTGATGGAACAGTTGGCTATGGTGGAAGGTATGTATATTCAACATGACCTCCTTTAAATTTTGCCACGAAAAAGGTCTATCATTCCAACAAATTAGAATTTTAATGGTCATCTAAATCTGTCAGGACAAAGTGCACTTTGAAGTCAACATCACTGAACACCTAAGATGCTAAAAGAAAAGCTAAAGTATGAAGTAAAATCTGCTGCGAGCTAGTTTCACCTGGTAGAAAAAGTTTATTAGTGTTTCTTTGACAGTGTAAGAACAAGCAGTTTAACAACATTATTAAACCAAAGCAGAAGAAAAAAGGACCAATCTTGTTCAGATAACAAATATGCACATATTTATTACTTCATGTAATTAAAGTACACAAACATATACTTCGAGTAATACCTTTCGCAAACAGCATTTTGAATGTGCACTACTCACTACTGCCCAATATAATATTTCGCTAACATTTTCTTTGACTGTTCTTTTAGTAATTTATTTAAGGCTATTCAAACTATCTAATAGCATGTTGATTTTATGTTGTCTGTTATTTGATAAAGACATTATTTGCCACAGAAGCAAAATCTATCATACATAGCCATTATTACAATTTTTAAATTTTCTAGCCCAGATGAAAATGGAGAAACAACTTTAGATGCAATGATTATGGATGGGTAATACAATTTCTCATTTTTCTTGTCTTTGCCATTAGTTGATACACTTTGCAAGTTATCTTGGAGAGGAGCAGAAATTTAGATTAGTTTCAAAAACAGCAAAAACAAGATGTACAACCATTTTCTGCTTTGTAGATCAATGTAAAGGGGGTAATCAAATATCCACCTCCAACTCAGCCCCCTTTTTTCTTGTCTGCAACTTCTTGTGACCCAAGCTTTATAATGTGTGAATTGCATTTAATGTGTATCTCAGCTGTCTATTGAATCAATTTGATCATAAAGGGACATGTTTGATTAAGAATCTGAATTAAGATCCTTGACTACTTATCATTAATGTAATTTTTTTGTTGGGATCCTTTTGATTTGACCGGCTAACTTTTTCTGATCATACAATATGTCCTTAGAGGAAAGGTTTTATAGCAGATCAATTACCTGATGATAAATGGGGCCATCAGTCCCCAAGATTTTGTTAGGGATATTTGCATGAAGCAAATCTACATTTTCCCAAATAGGTCAGCTTGTTTAAAGATATTTTGATTTTGAATGAACAGAAAAACTCACAGTGTTGGTGCTGTTGGATGTCTCAGGCGGATCAAAAGTGCAATATCAGTGGCTAGGAGTGTGATGGAACACACAACACACACAATTTTAATTGGAGAAGAAGGTAAACTGCTCATAATTTGAAAACCCTACTTTTGGGAAATTTTGTTCTTAATGCCTTCTAACCTCAACATTAAAGTAGTTTTATTTGCTAGCTATGTCACAGTTTTTAGTATTCTCAAAGCTTTATTTTTTTCTATTCATTTTTTTAATATATTTCATAGCCACATTCTGTAGCTTGAAAACAATTTAAATTGTAGCTTAGTAAAAAAACTTGAAAACTACAAGATATTTTAGAAATAAAACGCTTGTTTATCTCGTGTTCTGTTCATGTGACCCATGAGATTGCTTCAAAGTAATCATGAAGTTGATTTCCAATTTTTTTGAGAGGGGGTTTGGTCAAGAGGAAATTTGCTTTAAGGCTGCGATTTGTAAATCTTGGTAGAGAGGCGTTCACATTATAGACATCAACAAAATGCAAATTTATGTCTTTTGTTCAGAGTTACTCAAGGCAACAAAATCTTGTTTATGACTAGCTAGTGATAGATTCAGGGTGTAGGCAGTACTATCTAACAGTTAACAGCTACCTGTAAATGGATTTACCGATTAACTCGAGCTTCCAGGCATTTGAACTCTAAAAGTTTGAATCACATCCACATTAAGATATGAAGTAACTGGCATTTCTCATAAACTGTACATTATAGTTGTAAAGGGATTTTTGAATCAATGTTTATCAACTAACTTGTGTCTAAGACCAACAAATTGATCATTGTTTGGTTGTTCCTCAAGTAAAGCTGAAATAAGATAAAATTTTGAAGAAAACAAGGGAAATGAGGAGTATTTATCATATGCCTTGGCCTCAAAACAGTTGCTAGCCTTTTTAATTTTTTGATATTGGCCTCATGTAATGTAACTAAGAAGATTTGTTCACATAAGTTGTACAGATGTGATTGAAATTAAGTTGATGAAACCCCATGTAAGAGAGAAATGTGTTTTATTAGTATTTAGATAACTGTATTGACTTTAATTACAAATTCTGTTCACTTTATCAAACTGTCAAGCCTATTGATAGCATCTTCTAATGAGCTTTCGATATCTTTTTAAGCCACACAGTTTGCAATTAAAATGGGGTTCAAAGAGGAGGATTTGCATTCTCAAGAGTCTATGTAAGTGCTTGATGACACAATTAATTTTCTTTATATTAGTCAACTTTCATTTTTATGTAGAATCTATAATGACCTCAGATCATACCCATGATCTTAGGCAGATATGGAATGTGTGATATAATTGATTGACTTTACCAATGGTGAACTTGATAATGATTTGAGTGATGGGAAATTGTAAAAGTAACTTTGAACTTGCGTGTCCTAATGAGAGGCACAGTTAATGAGTCACTTCAGGGTCACTAAACAGACACATGTTGTCCCCTTATACTTTGGCAAGCATCAGAAAGCCCAGCAGCTGAAATGTTTAGCTTTCTGGTCGTAATTTTTACTTATGACAGGTTTAATACATATTAAAATGTATTTGTCTATGTAGACGCTTTAAGGGGTTTACTGCTAAGCTTTGGGTTCGTATATTCACACATAAGGCTGAGAAAGGGCCTCGTAAACCCGGACTCTTTCCTGTAAAATCCATGAAACTTAGTCTTGGTTAAAAAAATTATGAAACAGGCCTAAACAAAAATATTTCATCAGCAAAAATCAATTCTTTAACATACTATATTTCAGTCAATTTTTGACAAATTTAAATTATTTACACACACATCAGCATCTCTTTTAGATAATATGGTCTAACGTCCAAAGATCTAAAGCCATGTTTTTCGATGACATCAAACTTTGGTACTTATTTTTGGTTTGGCTTATTCAGCTCTCAGCAGTTGCCAAAAAAGCCTAAAGAATAACTTGTCTCGACTGGCATATTCTGCCTCGAGTTTTACCCATAATTTTGTCAAGTGATGCTGATAAATTGAAAATTCCCTTCACACGGATTCACTTGTTCAAAAGTAGGAACCTTTTTCTAACTGTTGTATACGCTATTTTTCTTTTGACAGCTGCAAGGATCTTGCTCCTGCTTTTTTTGTTGCTTAAATATTACCCTTAAAAGATTACTTGATTTTTTCGTTTTATATGAGAGTTGTGGAGCTTTGATTTATGTTACGTTTCTTGCCAGAGCAATGTACAAGAAATGGAAACAAGAGAATTGCCAACCAAATTATTGGAAAGTAAGTTTCTTTAAAGATAACTTCTTTCTTTTAATCTTGTTGCCAAGATGACTTCAGATTCTCTGGTAGTCTTCGAGCAAGCTCAAAATAATCTATAATTTAATTTGTTTCTTTTTTTGTGAATCAATACCAAAATCATTTTATTTGATATTTCTCTTTATTATCCTAGAATGTCACTCCTGATCCAAAATCTAACTGTGGACCATATAAACCGCTAGATAGGAGGTAGCAAGATCTTTTTCTATTTAGTATGTAGTCTTTTTTTGGCACAATACTGAAGAACGACACTTTCGGATATATTAACGCAGACGTAACATAACTGAAAACATTTTTAGAATGTGTTAGAAGCTTTCTAAAACTCAAGTTGTGATAGCGGTTTTGCCGATTAGTGATCAAGTTACAGTGATTGATATTAGGACAATGATCATCACTATCAAAACTTTAGCAAATGTCACCTTCTGTTTTCGCTATAATAAACATGTAATCAATATGCCTGGCTTCTCTTTGATGATTTTCATTCCTTACCTCTTTTCTCTAATGTTCTATAAGGCGATACAAATTTTCTCGTTGCTATAAAAAAAATTATGTCTGATAGCACCTGGCATGCCTTCAAATTCGAAATAAAATTATATTCCATCAAATGAACCAGTGGCTCCTATTGTTTTTCCTTTTGTTGTATAGATCTCAAAGAACCAATCACGAGTTTTTCCTTAAAAAGCTTGGCATATTTCGACTACAGAATGTGCCAATATAAATGATATTGGAAGTCTTTTTCAGTATTTAAAAAGAATCTTTGCTCATTGAACTTTTTGCTCTAAGTAGTTTTTTGCTTTTTTTACGATGTCGTTTTATTTTATTTTGCCAACCATTGTGTGTTTTTCTTGTATGAGCTTTATTTGTCTTGAGTAAATTTTAAACATTACAAATAACATACCTTCTTGTTATAAATATCGCTGATATTTTTCAGGGCACATATTGCTCAATTCTCTTTCGCTATTTGCTGTGAATGTCGTGATTTTTATGCTTTAGATTCAAGCAGCTTTTGTTTTCCATAGATATTTTAATGAACAGGAGACACGAGTCAAAGTCGATAAAAACAACCATGACACAATAGGTATAAAGAAGTTTCATTTTTTTATTTCCTGTTTAAACCCTCGAACATTCATGATGGTTTTTGTATCAAGTCAGATGAAAGGTATTCTTGAGTAATAAATAAGAACCAGATATAAAGCAATACCTGTAAACTGAAGTTAATTCATGAAAATGGAACTAAACGTGGTATAAAGCTTAAAAAGGACTGCGGAACTCTGCATTGTTCCTTTCTAGTTGATTTATGATAAGCATTTCATTTTTTCCTTAAAATTTTGTGGACAATTAGGGAGAAAATTCATTCTGGGCAGCTACATCTGGTTAAATTCAAAAGGAACAGGGGACAAAGAAAGGGGAAAGACGTACAAATGTTGCATGAAATTTATTAAACAATGAATACAGGAACAAGAAAGATGACCCTGAATAAATGGCACCTTTTTTTGGCAATTAAAATCTTTTGTCACCTTTCGTGGTTTGGTTGGTAAATAGGTAATACCGTGGATGGTATTGCTTATTTACATACAATACCACATGGTGGTTTTAATAACAGGACTTTTCCTTGATACAAAAAGACAGCGGTATTGTTTTCCACGGAATGGCGGTCCAACATCCACCATATGGGTAGAATCTTATCAAACTAGCAGCTATTTTTTGTTGATATGGGCTTGTTTTATATCTTATTTCACATCTACATAAATCATCAAAATTATTTGCATCATCAACTTCAGGCAATGTAGTTTGAATGTTTGCCCAAGTTAAAGTCGATTATATAAAGCCTCATTGCAGGTTGTTGACGAATGAGATTTCATTTTTGATCGTTATTCTTCATTCTTTCTATATAGGTATGATCGCTATCGATTCAAATGGCACTATTGCAGCTGGTGCATCAACAAATGGCCTGAAATTCAAAATCCCTGGGTTTGTATTTCTTGTATATCTTGATGCGAATTTGATTGCCATAGATGCAAGTATACGAAAGAATGATAATAAACAGTCACATTGATTACACATAAAGAACACATTGCGTGAAGAGTATCATGTCTATAATTAGCATATATTTCATGGAATCCGACAAGGCACATATCCACTGATGAAATGACCGATGCAGCTTTTTGCGATAACATTATGGGCTGTTATCTTAACAATCGGGCTCTCAGGAACACCAAATGTACTAGCAAAACACTCAAAGTCAACCTTAGGAACCTGAACGCCTTGCAAAGCTTTGAGTGTTTATACTTGGTGAGTAAAGGTATTGCACAGTTTTGACAATTCAGTAATGGCGACCGCATTGTCAACAACAAAACGATCGAAATTCAAACTACTTTCGCAAAGTCATTAGGCGTCTTTTATGGTTACAATCTAATCAAACCAAACTTCAAACCATTGACAACATTAAATTTTTTCGTCTCATTTTAAACGTAGGGACTAAAAACTTTAGGGAAGGGCAGATTCTCTGGCGTTGTAATGAACAATAGAAATAGCACGAAAATTTATACGTAAAGTGTTATTTTCGTTCTGCGTTTGTAAAAACTTGCAGAATATTCTGATTTCAGGCGTGTTGGTGACACTCCAATCCCCGGAGCTGGAGCGTACGTCGACAATGAAGTTGGTGCAGCAGCGGGCACCGGAGATGGGGATGTTTTAGTGCGGTTCTTGCCAAGGTAATTGCCTGTTCGTGAACGCTCCTGGTAGTTTTGATCTCATATATCAAATTGTTTGTCTTTCTTTGGCTTTAATATTGCTAAATTTCAGAATTTTGCAAGTCGGTGAAAAGCAATGTTAGAGTTATGGTAATTTTGTTGCTTCGTCTAATGAATGATGTGATGACAGTGAAGTAATATGGTATCTTTTTCATTGTCCTATTTATTTATCATTAAAGTTCTCTTGGTCCTATATTTTGTGCTTACTGTAACGCTTTGCCTGAACTTTCTTAATAGTCCTCCTATTAAAATGTTGTCACGGAAACCTTACAGTGAAGTGGATACCAGCGGGACCTCGATGATCTCAGAAGTGTATCAAAATTATTTTTTATGAATAACACATTGGCTTCCTTTCTTACGCAGCCATTGCCTGTGTGCGAAAATAACTTCTTCGAAGCCATTTTATTCTCATTTAGGCCAAACTGCTTTTCTTTACTACTCTTGTAAATTCAATTTCTTTAGTTTGCGAGCTGTTGAGAACATGCGTAATGGAATGTCTCCAGATGAGGCGGCAGCGGATGCGCTCCGTAAGATTGTTCAATATGTCCCGAAGTTTGAAGGTGCCCTGGTTGCTGCGACCAAAGATGGCCAATATGGTAAGTAGCTTCTAATTTTTATTTTCTTTTCCTTTTTATATACAGGAAACTCCCAATAACTAAAACCCCTGATAACAAAAACTTTCCCTTGGTCGAACTGATATTGCATTCCCCTTCCTTAGTACATTCATACAAAAGTGCTCTCGATAACTTGGACATTCTCTAAATAGAGCCTTGTCCCTTGGAGACAGGTTCGAGTTATTGTGAGTTTACTGTACGCTCCTGTTGTTTATGACCCTACTTTTGAGAGAAGTGGACTTCTGATTTTCCGCCTTCGTTGTTTAGATCCCTTGTTTTGATATTCCCAAGGTACTGTGAGGTTTGACGTTAGCTTGAAACAACTGAAAACCCATATTTGACCCCGATAAACTAACTGGAAAGATTTTTTTCTGTGGCTCTGCAACGTGACCTTTTCTTTCATTTTCGATTGTCTCATCTCATGTTGAGAAAAAACTATTTTTCTCAACCTCGCCCAAAAGCATAATTGCTTGCTTGAAAGGCTTTAAACATGTTCAAAAACCTGTTTCTGCACATATTGTGAGCTTTGCTACTTGTATCTACTTGTAGAACAATATTCCATTATCATGTTAACGCAGAGAAACACCGGCCTTATTCATAGCATACGATACTTGTGAACGGTATCAATAGACTAGAGAATATCTGCATACTGGGCAGGATCCTTTTGTATGAAAAGCGAGGAATTTATTCATAATTGGTGTAGTGACGGGACAGCCTTTGAGATCAAAGGGACGAAGGAAAGAAGCCCGTAGAGTGAAACTAGGTATCAGGCATGGTCGCTTTGGCATATAAGAAAAATAGCTGCATAGATGACGTGAAATTATAAACAACCTTGTTTGGTGTTTTAAAAGAACACCTTACAAAGAACAAAGTTCGATCTCGTGAATTTGCTATGGCTAGCCAGAACACACTGCGGTTGACCGAGGGCTGCAGAAGTCGAATCGGCCGGAACCAGCAATTTTCCTTTGCTGATAAACTATATTTGCTTTATGTTTAGGAAGTCCAATGGTCGGTCATACGCATTGGGAAATCTAAAAGCAGCATTTTACTTCGAGATAAGCTCATATAAACAAGTTTACTTTAACCAAAAATTTTTGATACAGGCAACTTCAGCTTGAAGAAAGTTGTCTGTACTCAAATATATAAGGAATGTTCGTTATATAAGGAATGTTCAGAAGGAATGCTCAATCTATTAATGAGTTTAAGAAAGAAATTAAAAGCTGAAATGGCGCAGACTGTACATGCAAACTATGTAGTACGTTCGTGCCACAGCTTGGTTTTTGTAATTCTATCGTTTTAAATAGCTCAGATTTTTATAGTACTACCCTATAAATTCTGTTTTTGATGGATTATTATGTACTTAAAATTTTATGTATTTAATCTCGTATGTATTCATTAGATGTAGTAATTTTAACAGTTGGCTTGGATTAGCTCATTTTACTGTAAATAGCTATGTAGCGCCAACTTTAAATAAAGTGGTTATTATTATTATATTATTATAGGTTAAATCAGCCAAGAAAACGTTAACGGATAGTAGCAAGAACGTCTTTTCCTTGCCAAAACTATCATACTTTGTATTCGACTTTTAACAATCTCTGGCTTGGAAAATGTATATTCCCAATACGTTGCCTGAAAAGTGTAGGGTTATTCCGATTTTATGAATGCTGATATTTCGTTCTAGGAGCTGCAAGTCATGGATGGGATTTCTTCAAATACTGCATTATCAACCCCACCTCCGGTAGGGTTGAAATCATTCCAGTTGCTCCAGTGGCATTTCCATAAACACTTTGTCAAAAATATTGATTGCCGAGTTGACTTAAATATCTATATTGAAAAATCCGATATTTTAATTAAATTCAAAATCATTCAAAATCATTTAGTATCGTGTTTCCAAAAAGCATACCATGGCTATCAAGATAATTACACTTTGCCAAATGTAACTACGTGTCAATGTTATTTGATTCCATGTTAAGCCGTTTTTGTAAATCGTCGTCATGGCAGATTTTATGCTTAGGCATCTTATTTAACAACAAGTCCAATTGAAAGAATCGCTGGTAAGTTTTTTAGATCATTAATTCTTTTTAGCGTTCGCATATGATTCTTCTGATCCTTATTGTTTAGCCGAAAGTCAACGTATCAACAACTTTGACAGACAATATTTCTACAGTTAGTTTTGTAAAGTGGTCACAAAGTGTCGATTGAAGCTTTTTTAGCCTTTTCAATAATTATAATAGTTTGAATAATTCGATGCATACCTTTGGTGGATCAAACTTGATAATATTCAAATACAGAATCTGTAAAATTTTAACTTGAATAGATTTAACTTGACTTAGAAATGATAGAAGGGAAAGTACACAAAATCTTTGTTGATAGATTTATTTTAATTAGATGGACCATGGACATCTAAGCTAGTGTATATTCTTATTTTCAAAATCATTTTGGTTGTGAATTTTTCGATTATAAAAAGTTTTATTAAGAATGAGCCATTATTCGGCATGTATTCTATCGTTTAATGCCTTGAAACAAACTGGATGGTAAAACCTTCAATGCTTCTGTTACATGAATGTATTTGCTAGTTGCATGTTGTTTACTTTGAAGGGATAGAGCTAACGTTGAAAAGGTATAATCTGTTACGATCAGGTCATATACCTTAACTTTCCGAAACGTCACAGAACCTTCAATCATGCTTTAATCTCTGTGAATGTTGAACGAATACAAGAAGTGCCCAAGCACAATATGTTTTCTTTGTTGTGGGTCGCACAAAATGCAAATTTATCTGTATTTTCAGATTACGTCAAATGATGAATCTAGTTAAAGAAACAACAATTACATTGAGCTTTGGCAATATTTTCCACCTTTTTCTGATTCACCACTTTCTCAAGATGCCTGGCGTACGTTCCGTCGTTTGGGTAACACAATAATCCTTTGACTTTTGCATAAAGCTAGGGCATTTGAACTAAGAATTTAATTAGGTGAAAATGTTCAATACATACACAACTGAGAAATATTTTATTCAAACAAACACACTGTCATCTTCGTTTAGCAATTTATCTTTCAAAAATAGATTCGATGAAAAATATTTTTTTACTGCTATATGATTCTTGAGCGCCAATGAAATTTAAATTTTCACTAGAGGAGAGGGCCTCTTCAATGGTAGAGGTATTTGAGGAAATTTTGGTTCATACTTTAATTGCAAATTTGGTCCAGCCAAGAATATCATATTTGATATTATTGGTGCTTTGACAATTTGATTCCAAACGAAGGTCCTAACGATTATATCCTAACGACTAATTTTTTGTTGATAATAAACTCATTATGAAACTTTTTTCTAGAAATTGGTCTAGCAAAGGGAATTTTTTCTGTAGAAATAAGGTTAGCAAACGGCATTACTTTGAATATGACCGTGGGAGGCCAAAAATTTAGCCGAGAACACCCGACACCACCTTTGTCTTGCATAAAGGTAAAACATTCATTTTGAATCAGTGCACGAAGGACTGCTAGCATCTACATTCCCTTATTTTTGTAATAAATCACTTTTCGTCTAGTATAATTTCTAAAAAAATCTGAACCAACTAGGAGCTACTACTTGCAATAATTCTTCAATCAGCGTCGACTTCGTTGCTAGAAAAGGCCAATTATTTTGGCCAAGGCTACTATTGGACGCCCTGTAGGAATTCCTGGAAACGGACCAGATGAGCCAGCAATGTCCAAATGAGAATAGCATAACGGTTTCTCACATCCGACACCATGCTGCAAGGCAGAGAGTTGTTGATAAAGCTTTAAAAATACATATACATTGTTATAAATAGTAAAAGCCCAAGGCAAGAGTTTTTTGACGCACTTAGCAACCTTTAGGTATTAATCCAAGGGCATTGCGTTTTGTTGGCAGGTCTAATATTCGCAATATGCCTGCAGTTAACTCGCCCCGTCTAGCCAACAAAGGTCCGTTTCATTAAGGCTAAATAAACACGAGGAATTTTTCCATATAAAATGAGGTGTGTCAGTTAGAAAGTATGAACTGTGAAGAGAACATGAGAGGGGAAAGAAAGGGAAGGGACGGGAAGGAAAGGGAAGAGAAGGGAAGGGAAGAGAAGGAGGATACAGTTTTTTTGGCAGTGCAGAAATTCAAAACAGTTTGAAAAAAACAAACTTTATCCTAAAGCTATTCGTCTGGCGCTCTTTAGATTACAAAACGTCGGAACATTGACCGAAAGCTCTAAGCTAGGAAATAACTCTGAACTAAAACTGTATGCCCGTCCCAAAGCAAAAAACTCCAAACAAGGAGGAGAATAATTGCCAAAATTCCACTAGAACTGTTTGAAACAAAAGGAAAACTATCAAACAAACAAAATTATATGAAGGGAATTAGAGTCCTGAAGTGATGATTTCACAAAAGTCTATTTTTAGAATTTTGGAATTTGAATCCTATAATCTGAAAGAGCATTATGAAATACCTCTAGATATACAAAAACAATTAATAGTGTTGTATGTCTTAGATATGGCAACACGAGCCCAGGCTCTTTCTCTATCAAACTGCTGTAATTTGGTCTCTGTTTGTATCTTTATGAACAGAGCCCACTTAACAGTAATCCGTTGACAAACTTCAAATCTTTCCTTGGCTATATCGCACCCGGTTTTAGACATATTTGACTGATTTTGCTTATTTAGAAGCATTTTATAGTTCTATGGTTATGTGGTCAAAGCTAAAAATTCTGGGTGTCCTTATTTAAAAATTACTTTTTATGACGTCACACTTTAGAACTCTATTCGAATAAAAATCGAAGTTCTAACAATGATATTCTGAGAAGAACAAAATGGTGGGATCTGAGTACAAACCTTGTCAAGGCCGGATGTCCTGATCAAAAAGGCAGCTGGGAACTGGTGTCCACGACTTGTCATTGAGGATGGCTCGTTGTTGCATTGAAGCACATCTTCATACTCACTGGGGCCAGCAATCATCTTATAGTCCTAGTCAGAAACAAAATAAAACTTACGAAAGCATTCATTCTTTTTTCGTTCCACACCTCTATGATAAAGCGGAAAAGAGAAAGGATTAAATCTACATAATTGCAAGATTGTCAAACATAATGCAGCTATTCCGCCTTCAAACAGGTTTGGTACTGACTATACTCTGATTGGCTGCAAACCAGCCAGTCAGACCACTCAGTTAGATGTGTCTCTCGCCATTTCAGCTGATGTCCCTCGTAGCAAAACGCCTGACTCTCTTTAACTGACGAAAAAAGGGCCTATTTCTAAGACATACATAATTGGCTTGTGTGGCGAGGAAAGAGATGCAACCAGCAAATAATTAGAAAGTCGTTATTTAAACTAATAAGCAGTTAATGGCTGACGTTAGCAAAGTTTAGGCTTCTGCAAACGGTCAAAAACATCATTACAAATCTCGTGGCTTGAGGGTTTTTTAGAAATTGTGAAAAACGGAATTGTCTAGTTTCCATACTGCTCGACCTGATAGTTATAAATAAGCATGATTAATAGCCATAAATTAGTATGATTAATTATTCCAAGTAAAGGGTTAGGGTTAGGGTTAGGGTTAGGGTAAACTAATTACGTCATCAGGTCGAGCAGTATGGAAACTAGACAGCTCCTGAAAAAACAGACAAACCTCGCGTCGAATAGTAGAGATCTCGAATGGATCGGCAAGTTTTTCACCTTCTGTAATTAGAAAAAAACATTTTCGAAGGATCAATCCAACTGGTTGTTAATCTGCCATAAATGTTTTCCAAGCTCATCTTTTTATGTATTTCTACGACCTGAAAACATTGCATTGAATGCGGGTACTGTTTAAGTACAGGCTTTATTGAATATTTTAACATGTTCGGGGGGAGGGGGTATTCCGTCATAGGTGCATGATTGCTCAGTGTCGATTTTTTAATTGGAGGAATCAAGTACAAAACCTAATCTACTTCCGTTCATTTTCACTTTGACGCTCCATCGAACAACTATAGGCGTTCCACTACACAAGATAACTCTGTTCCAAAACTTAGACCAAACAGGCCTCCAGTGTATAACACTTTTGATAAGGTAAAATGCTTATGGCCCTACAGACAATAGCTCCAGATGATGTATCCCAAAGACAACAATAACCATATGAAAGGTTGCTTGCTTTTAGAGATACTTGTTAACAATTACCTTCTTGCAGTCTCTGGGCAAACTTTTTTTCTCGAGCAGGCCCGTTATCCAATACAATCTGTGGTGGAAAAGGCACTTGTCACACAGCATGAATAACTATGTTGCCATTCAGAAAATTATTGCTATAAGGCCCCACCAATTTATTGCAATGATTCCTCTGAATGGACAACTAGGAGGAGGAGTTTTACTCAACGTGGCATTTTAACAGTTCCCCTTCTTATTTTTAACGAAAGCTTAACGGAATTTAGGTTTAACGGAAAATCAGACCTAGCAGCCATCTCTCAGTTCTTTGCAAATACTTGTTTCCAATTTTACCTTCTTTTGTTACTCAACTGTTCTTTTGCATCGGATCACATGTTAAAAATAAACATATCTTACAAATAAACATGAAAAGAAATCTTACCGTGTACTCCGGTCCCACTGCCCGGATCGCATGACCTGTCAATGTTGCTATTGTCATGAGATGAGGGTTTATTTCTCCCAAAGCCTGTAAATGCAATGCATTAACTCTAATTGTTCCTTCAATAAATCCTTAAGGTATTGCAATACTTTAAATACAAACGTTTTGTCACTGCAGGGCCTCCGGGGGGCCATGCCCCCCCCCCCTACATTTTTGCAAAGCAATAGAGTTTTTTCCATAACTTTTGTTATGGGTGTTAAATTCTTCCTCCCCCCTCCTTTTCAACCTGTTTCGGAGCCCATGCATGCACTGACACTATACATTCATTTTTTATAAGAAACTAAACACGGTTTTAGTACACAGTTTCTTAACTTGTTTTTTTATTTCAGTGTAAGCAATTTCTTGAAGTTTTCCTAAATACCAAATGCTAAAGATTTAATTTGTAGAAACACAAAACAAACACAAGATAACATGAAATAAAACACCTAAAAAGTCACAAGAAGCTCTTCTTTCCATTCATTCACAATGCTTGCACAGTATTTGGAATACCTAACCAGTTTCAGTCAGTTTAGATCTTTTTTTTTAATTCACGTCTAAAGAAATAGCTAAGTTGGCTCCAATGTTAAACTTGCATCTCAGCCACCCTTGTTTCAAAAGTTGAATTCAAATAGTATACTTCCATATAGAATAATCCAAAATGTTTGAAAAGGGAATGGTGAAAGCTGTTAAAGTGAACAAAACACTGTTGATGTTCCCAAACTTCTGGCGGGCATTGTACCTCAATTAAAATAGGCGCCTAATAGTCCAAAATAATTACTTCAAATTTATCTTTAAAAGAAATATTTTCAAGCATCCGAATTATGGCTATTTCATTTTTTTCTCAGCTAAGGGCTCTGTTTCCTAATGACGGTTTCTTTAAAAAATGAGTGTCACGATATTCGGTAACAAAAAGATATTTTGTTTGTAAGCTCGTCTTTTCATCAGCGATGCAAAATGGCCTAATCATAAATATCGGAATGGAGAACTCAAAAACTATTTAAAATGGATTCAATATCAACATTGATGAAAGCAAAAGTAACACCTCAAGGACCTGAGAAGATGTTTTTCTTAGCCTTAAAGTTAATCTGATTTGGTAACCACATGGGCAATGGCTTCTTCTAAAAACATAGCTGGTACTAAAATAAATGCTTTTAATCGTCCGTTGCGCCGAATAGGCTTTTCTGAAAATGTTGTTTTGAGATTGCCCATGTCAAATTAAAAGGATTCTGCTACTTAACAGAAATAACAGGCTCGATTTTGGTAAGGTACAGTTCGGTTTAAGGGCTAGATAACACCCAAGGAGAGATGTGCCTTAACGCTCTTTTAGGTATACCTAAATCATTCTAATCCGGATGGATGACATCGCTTTTTCAGATCATGTGCCTGACATTTGGACCTGGCTTTAGAAGCAGTTATTTCACACGGAAACCAGGAAATTAATTTTGTTGTCAATAAAATTGTCCTGTCAAAAGGCTTTTGCTACGCAAAGAGAATACAAGGGACCAGGATGCAGAAAAAGACACAGGGAAAGCACAGGTGGTAAAGAAGGATTTCCTGGTTTCCCTGTGGTTATTTATGATGTAGCTGTACAAGTGCTGACATTATAAGCAAAGAATAAATCAAAGCATGGTCTTAAAGTATTGCATACGGCATTTATTCGTACCTGCATGGCAGTATAGTGGAGAGGATCAGCCATAGCCATCCGTCCTTCTGCATCGGTATTTCCAACC